TTACAACAAATCGTAAATATCAAACTTGCGTTTTATGATACCGTTTAATCATTATGTGCATGATAAATATAGTACAGTTCATTTCAATAACATGTAGAGTAAAACACCTCTTAACCTCTTTTATAATTTTCTTTCAAACTTTTCTTCCTTCTATATTCCCTTTTTTGGGTGTGGTCTTTTTTTACACACGTGAAACAACAAAACAGTTTAGAGCAATTTATATAATTTTGAAGGGTAGTTATATAACATTTACATTCTTCATGAATCTAAACTGTTAAGCCCCCAAAAATACATTATTACCCCCTCACAACCCCCAATAAACAGCTTTGTAAACTTGCATTTTATTTCCCAGTAAGATCAGTTCCATGCGCCCCCCCCCCCCCTTCGTTCCAGGACCATTCAATAAGGGAACTCACCCACTGCCACTGGTCACAACTATTAAATCACCTGTAGGATTGAACGAAGATATTGATATAATTTTACAAAATGAGTATCGTCAAAGATTAAGAACTGTTTTGGTTTTTCCTCAACATTTTTGTTTTCATTTCAAGTGACAAACAGCACAATTGGTCACGGAACATGTTCAACGAGCAAACGATTTATCCCTTTGATATCCATCTTGACGTGAAACCGATCCTAACAAAACTTCAAAATCGACAAGTTTGTCAAGGTTATGGCTGATTGATCGGATGATGACTCGATACTATACACCTATTGTTTGACCGATGGATGATCTATCAAAAGACATGATTATCAGAACCACTTTTCTGTTTGTTTACATATTCTCCATTGCCACATACCCCGAATATCTTGTTTACTGTGATTTTTCTTTGATTTTGGTTAATACAAACCTAAATTAAAATTAAAAGAACTTTACTATGCCATGAAGCTCCTTAAAATATTATTTTTTCCCTGTAACGCACTTTTCGGCAGAACTCAGAACTCAGGATCTCTCATTTAAGAGCCAAGAGCCGTCACCCACCAATATATTTTAAGATGGCGTATATAATGTCTTTCTTTTAATAATAAGGCCTTCTATATGAAGACAGGTTTCAAAAACTCTCCCCATATAAAAATAGTTCTTAAACTGATTCCTTGAATTTGATTATCAGAAGATGTTTCCATGAAACAAATATTTTTTAAATTAAATTTAAGACTCTGTTCAATATTCAATCTGTTCAAATCGGTTAATTCTATGACCCCTGTCTATTCAAAATATGCTACTGCAGATCATTTAATGAAATTCAGAGAAATGTCACTTTTTGACAAAAATGGCATGGGGGTAAGCCCATAATTTTTGGCCAAAATTCATGAATTTTCAAAGAGGCTTATTTTCATCTCTTTGACCCCTGTCTATTTAAAATATGTTATTTCAGATCATTTCATAAAATATGAAAAAATGACCCTTTTTGACAAAAATGGCAAGGGGTTAGCCTACCATTTTGGCCAAAATTCATGAATTTTCAGAAAGGCTTATTTTCATATATTTTCATATCTTTTCATCTTTTTGACCCCTGTCTATTCAAACTATGTTATTTCAGATCATTTCATGGAATGTAGAAAACTGATACTTTTTGACAAAAATGGCAAGGGGTTAGCCCATTATCTTTGGCGAAATTCATGAATTTTCAAAAATGCTTATTTTCAAATTTTTTCATCTCTTAGAACCCTGTCTATTCAAAATATGCTATTGCAGATCATTTCATAAAATATGAAAAAATGACCCTTTTTGACAAAAATGGCAAGGGGTTAACCCATCTTTTTTGGCCAAAATTCATGAATTTTCGAAAAATCTCATTTTCATATCTTTTCATGTCTTTGACCCCTGTATACTCAAAATATGTTATTGCAGATCATTTCATGAAATGTTGAAAAATTATTCTTTTTGACAAATATGGCCAGGGATTAGCCTATTTTGGGGGCCAAAATTCATGAATTTTCAAAAAGGCTTATTTTCATGTCTTCGACCTCTGTCTGTTTAAAATATGTTATTGCAGATCATTTCATAAAATATGAAAAAGTGATACTTTTTGACAAAATCGACTAAATCGCCCTACCAATTTGGCCAAAATTCATGAATTTTCAAAAAGGCTTATTTTCATATCTTTTCATTTCTTCGACCCCTGTCTATTCAAAATATGTTATTGCAGATCATTTCATTAAATAAGAAAAAATGACCCTTTTTGACAAAAATGGCAAAAATGGCCATCTTTTTTGGCCAAAATTCATGAATTTTCAAAAGGTTTATTTTCATATCATTTCATCTCTTTGACCACTGTCTATTCAACATGTTATTGCACATCATTTCATGAAAATTAATGACAAATATGGCAAGGGGTTAGCCCATAATTTTTGACCCAAAATTCATGAATTTTCAAAAACTAAGGCTTATTTTCATATCTTTTCATCTCTTTGACCCTGTCCATTCAAAATATGTCATTGCAGATTTTTTTTCATGAAACGTATAAAAATTACACTTTTTGAGAAAAATGGCAAAATTTCGTTTTTCAAAAAGGCTTATTCGCTCTTTGACCCTTGTCTATTCAAAATATGTTATCGCAGAACATTAAGTGAAATGTTAAAAAATGCCCCTTTTTGACAAAAATGGCAACGGGTCATCCGCTCATTTTTTGACAAAATTTATGAATCTTTTTATCTGTAGGAAGTGATTATGCCCCCTGTTCATTCAAAACATGTTATTTCAGATAATTTCATGAAAAGTCGAAAAATGTCCCCTTTTGAAAAAAATTGCAAGGGGTTAGCCCACCAATTTTAGCCAAAATTATGAATTTCAAAAAGGCCAATTTTCATCTGTGGAAGATGTCTTTGACCCCTGTATTACGCTTCCATGTTCATGTGTATTTGTGCATCTATCAAGAGTTGCAGGGGAGAAATGAAATCAAATTGCATTCATTAAGAGACAAAGTTCATCTTCAAGGTATCACTATCTCATTCAACATATTTTGTCTCAATTTCCAAAACACTTTTCCAGCCAAATATTTGAGCCCTCAAAATTAATGGAAATGAGAATTCTGATACATTATGATTAGTCTTTTCATCAATTGATCATGCATTTAATTCATATAGGTTCATTCTTTTTCATTGCACTGATAAGTTTCTATAATATCTTAGCTTAGCATTAACAGACATGCCAACTGTTCAGATTAAAGACGAACATTCCTCTTTTTGGGAGAAGATAATTATCATTTTAATGCAGGTGTTCCTCTTCCTGTACAAATTTGTCTGTAGTATTGAATAGGAGAGTTAGGATTGTTCCTCTTTTTTTTTGAAAATAGCATAATTTGTACAGATTTCTGATTTTCAAATGTTGGCATGTATGCATTAATATTTAATTGCACTTCTTATACATTATACAAATACAAATACAATACATGTACTAACAGAGAGAAAAGGAGAGTGAAGAAACACATAGCAATGACAAAAAGAACTACATCAAAAGAAAATAAACTACTGTAAACACAAGTTATTTAAAGGAAATTTGCAAAATTGGGTATTGCGCTTGTTTTTAAAGATAAAGTCCAGTTTTGGAAACGCCCCCCTCTCAAAAAATGAAATGGAAGCTCTTAAGTATGTGAAAGAATATGTTTTGACTAATATGTGATGAACGGCCTACTGATTGATATATTTGGTAAATTATTATATCCATTTGGACATGATAGATATTGCGCACGTGTCGAGCACGTGTCGCGTAGTCCAATTTACATCTTTTTGTGTACAGTGCTTGTAACTTTACCAAGACTGGGCCAGATTTCTTATCATTTTGATGATTCCAGAACATTGCAGTACACACCAATACTTATATGTTAGATGATCATCCTTTTCTGAGTGATTCTAAAACGTTTATTTCACAATGCAATCACATGACCATAACTGGCCTTTATCTTTAACCCTGATCCAACTATTTTTCAATCATGAAACTTTTTGCTGATCTTGCCCCCTCATGCAATGTGCTAACATTGTACGCATTCTATTCTCATAAATGTACATGCATGAATTTCTGAATTTTGTTTCACAGAACATACCGGTAGACATAACAAAAAAACAATAAGAATTAAGGACTAGAGGCAGACTGGTAATGAGCATAGGGTAACAAGATAGTATGCAACATTTGCTACATATTTGAGAAGACTTCAAGAAGTTCGACCCTCAATAGATGATAAACATTCATGGTAGCAAAAGGAAATGAAAAATGGTGAATATACAGTCTCATATTGTTCTACCATTTTTTTATAAACTTGCAAAATATCTGAATATTACATCTCTAAAGAGAAAGTCGAGTTCTGGGGAGAGGTGAAAAATAATTTTGCAAGTGTGGAAAAGCATCAGAGTAAAAAAATCCCCTGATAAGCATGGCTTTTCAAATACCTTCATATTCTAAATATGAATAGTCACAGCTTAAAAATGAGGCCCTGTTTTTATGCCAAATGTTTGTGTAGTCCCATATACATTTTTCTGTGTACACTGCTTGTTACTTTGCCAAGACTTGGCCAATTTTCTCATCATTTTGATGACTCCAGAACCTTGCAGTACACACCAATACTTACATGCTACATGATCAACCTTTTCTGATCGATTCCACATGGTTTCTTTCTCAATGCAATCGCATGACCGGAACTTTATCTTTAATTTCTGATGAATTTTAGTGAACCTTCTACATGTAAGAAAACATCTTCTGTGTGAATGTTTTAGTCAGCATCTTTGGAAAGAAATGCAGCAGCCATGCTATATAGATGCTAGGATCCTTTGTTGGTCATATGCTCACCGATCCCGGAGGTTTGCAAGTACAATGTATCATGCAAACATAGCTGATCTAAAGTTTTACAAGAGTCTGTGATCCCTGCCAAATTACATCCATAACAATTATGCTTTGCCTCTCATTTGTTCAATTTACTGATTACAGCTCTAAGCAAAAGACTCAGCAATTAGTGTTAAAGCTAGTATATTGTCCTTTATCAATTAGAATCTGTATACAAAAAAAACAAAACAAGGTTCACCAAAAACTTCTCACTCAAATTGGATTACGAGTTGAAGCTGGAAATAAAACGTCTTACAGTGAAAGACTTGATTTATGTTTATTTTTACATTTATTATTGTCCTTTAATAGATTAATGTCCAAGAAATCTGGAAACTGTTGAAATTCAGACTGAAGAATGCACCTGCCTTCCTTTAAAACTCTGCATGATAGAGTGATTTCTCTATTCTCTTTGGCATGGAGGTGTCATGGTCTAACAAATACGTCACCAGACCATGAATCGCTTGGTTTGCAATTAAAGTCCCGTCACTGCACTGCACTGCACTAATGTCCTTTGGCAAGACATTAATCTACACTAACCACTCTCCACCCAGGTGTGGTAAATAGTTACCGTACCTGGTAGGAAATTATTCCATGAATGCTTAGAGAGCCTTTAGGCAGTGGGCCTAAAGCCAGGGTAACCTAGTACTTTGAAGGCACCTCGAACATCCCCTGCAATGGATGTGTGAGCAATAGAATATGTGTGCAACATAAATGTAACTATCAATATTATTATTATGATTTAGTCTGTCATCAGTTTACTGAATTGTCTCACTTCCGTCAAGACATTCTGCAGGTAAGTACTTGTATCACTGATCGCCATCAACGTGTATAAATGTACAAATAAATGTACATAAACAACCAAAAACCATCTGGGAGCTGTGCCTCATCATGATCCATTGGATGGAAAGTTAAATTCTGGCAAATATCCACTTGTACTGATGATGTCCAGTTTTTCATTGGTGCGCTTGATGTCGTCTGAGAAATGTCGCATACTGTAGCATACATCCTGCAATAAAAAAATGCAAACCATGATGCATGTTGAATTTGGACGTTGCAAAATATTAACTCAACTCAAAGTAAGTTATACTTCTTTAATCCTACATCTGTGATAGTCTTGTACATTTCCTTTCTATTAAAACAATGCCCTAGCTATGTTATGCTGAGCTTTGGTCTACTTATTTCTTCTACTCATTTTGTAGGACATTTACATGTACATTTAATTGTTTGCTTGTGCAAGAGCATCAATATGAAGCATTCAAACACAATGATGCAATTAATTGGTTCTATGACACATGCTCCTATGACAGTGGCTCAGAACTCAATTTTGAAAACCAATCAAATTCTTTGTTCAATCCTGGACCTAATACTTTCCATCGCATCAACCCTAAACCTAAGCTAAAAAACAATCAGGACAAATGCCACTGTAGCTTACATTTTTGATGACCCATTAATTTTCTAGGCAGAATTGGTATTCACGGGGGGGGGGGGGGGGGGGGGGGGGGTAGTGTTTTGAGGGTCCCATACACATATGTTACGTTATGTTCTTCTTGGAATACCAAAACAAAACTTTCATTTTCCTCTGATCCAAGTTACAGTAGAGCTATCAAATTAATAAGCGCACAATCATCAGGAATTTTAAAATATCTGTAGTCTGTTACAATAAAGTACACAATAAAATACACAATGAACTTTGAACTTGCCTGTCTACCTGAAGATATTAAATCTGTTGAAAATCAACAATTGATGAAATTGTCTGTAAATCAGAAGTTATTTACAGACTATTTTGATGACGTATTTGATAGCATTAGAAGCTATTGTTACTATTGTCACAATGTCAATTTGATCCCCTACATACATGTACATTGTGTGCGGGTAAGCCTGAATCTAATGACCGGGGTAATAATGTAAAGCGCCTTGAGAGGGCCTTTGGTCCTGAAAAGCGCTATATAAGAACTAGCTATTATTATCATTATTACCTGGATGACCATCTGTGACTTGGTGAGCATCTGGTTGGTGTTGCTGAACTCCTTGTGCTTGGCCTGTATGGCCTGAGCTACTGCCTCCTGGAGACTGACCTGAAGACTGATGTTGCGCTCTCGTAGCTTCCTGTGGAGGAGGGTGTCGTAACGGGGCGGGTCCAGCGGCGACACCTTGACCTGCGAGGCCGAGGAGACCGACTTGATGGAGGACTGGCTGCCGATGGATGGAGAACGAGATGCTCGGTTGACTTGGAGAAGGAAACAAAGGCAAACGTCAGAGTAAGAATAAGAGGATTATAGAATTGTATAAATTAAAGATAAAGGTGAGTTCTGGAAAAGAAAAAAAAAAATTCTCACAGAATCAAACGAAAATTACACTGAATGTTCAAGATTACAAATAAATATCATTTGGCAAACAATTTTGGTAGAAAATGTTTACCGGTACTGGCTGAGTAATGAGCATAGAAAGATTAGGAAATCAAGGTAAGTAGCCCCCGACACCATTTGTGTAGTCCCATATACATCTTTCCGTGTACAGTGCATGATACTTTACCAAGACTGGGACAAATTTATTATGATTTTGATTACTCCAGAACTTTGCAGTACACACCGATACTTAATTACTTAATGTACTTTTAATCAATTTTTTCTGATCCATTCCACACGTTTTCTTTCACAATGCAATCGGATGACCAGAACTCACCTTTATCATTAAGGGGATGTGGTGCAATGGAGGATTAGAGAAAAAGAAAATGAAAATTCATACTGCCATGGAAACTCCTTTTTTTCAGGATTTTTCTCTTTTTAGTTCAAACAGTAACAATATTGAAGGACTTACATGTACATGATCTTAGTGTAAAAGTTTAAAATAATTCTGGAGAAAATTTTTCTAAAAAACGAATTGTGTCTTAATTTAATAGCCACCTATCACTGGCACTGCCATTACATGCCCCCTCCTCCCCCCCCCCCCATAAAAAAATGGTATCAATCTATATACTTTACTTTTTAATACTATACTTTAGTCCAGCGATTCTATAGGACTATGCCTGTTCATCAATCGTAGATGTCTTCTTCAGTGGTTATACATTATCCTTGTCATTTTAAATTAAATGCATGGGCGTAAATCTGTAATTGATACCTATTGTTCAGGGGGGATGATCTATTCATTCATCCCCCCTGAACAATAGGTATTACGTAAGGATTGACGCCCATGATTAAATGATTGAATAAGTGGGAAAGGACAGTCCCTTCCTGCCTGGTTATAAAAAAATTGTCGCCTAAGGGGACATGGTGTACATCTTTTTAAAACATTAATCATTACATGCCTAATTTTTAACACTTTAATGTTTCACTCACATTCTGAAAAGTACTGTAATGTACAAGCAACCTTTGGGAGAAATTATGTGCTCACATTCCTGAGGATCTTTGGAGTTAGGGCTTGTCATTAAAAAATGAGAACTTTGCACAAGGAATGCATTACTTTTCACACTTTGCGTAAATAACATTGACAAGGAACATAAAAAGGGTTGACAAACGCTCATTTTAGACTTTGATTTAGCTGTGATGTATTGTGGGAAGCGCATGCACAATACCATAAACCATACAAGAAGCTTGCACAATTTTTGACTGATAGCTTCAGTTTGATGTGCAGAGCTATAGCGTAGAGACGGTACTGAGCGACAATGTCAACATTGAAGCCCTAACCGGAGGCTTCCCAATGTCGGATGTGATCCAAATTCAGGTGGAATATGGATATGGTCATGATTAAAATTAGTAAAAAATTGGGCTCAATTCCTTTGCTAAGAATGATGGATATGAAAATGGTAAAAACATGGATACAAAAGTACACTAGCGCCGTAAAATGTTAGATGTGTAGACATAGCCATAGGGCTCCGAGCTCCCTCTCCTCTCCACCACTCTCATCTTGGTTTTACACTCACTCACTCAGCCCAGACTCGTCGAGTGACATGACATGCAACACATTTTCAATTCCAGCTAACTTGTTCAGTTTAATTTTGTTTTCATTTTCATACAAACCTTTCAGCGGCGGAATGTTTGACTGTGAAGGAAATTGCTGTTGTTCTGCCCTAGCTAGATGCATTTCTTCATCTTCCTCGCTATCCGTTTCCGAAGCCTCGCCCTGAACCACGACACCTGCTTGCCGCAGCTCCTCCCCGATGGACGACTGGCTGCGGCCCGCTACAAGCTCGGCTGCTGCAGTCAGTTCGTCGTCCGAATCTGATTCGCTTGCCTCCCCAGAAACGACTCGTGTAATAGTAGACATGCTTTCTTTAAATGAATGACGATAACAACAGAAAATGTAATCCCACCCGTCTAATTTGTGTGATTTACAGAAGTAGACTAGGCTTTAACGTTAAAACTAAAGACACCATGAACAATATTATTGACCTTCCTGTTTCCCGAGCCTGAAAATGTTCCTTTCTTATTCGGACCTTGAGATGGCGCTCTTTAATTTCTCTGTGACATCGACATACCACATACCATGGGTTTAATTTTCTGGATGCTACAATGTACGAAACGGAAGAGGGGGGGGGGGGGTGGTGTGTTTGGTTCTGTTGGATGATATGGCCACTGTGGGGCAGTCTGCTGTGGGGCACTGGCGTACTGAGGAGGCAGGCTGGGGGAGGGCAGTTCCCCCTCTCAATAAAGTTCAAACGTAACTTACAAATGTTGCTGAACTTATAATATGATTTTTCCTCACTATTTTGTAATTCAATTCAATTCAGAACTTTATTTCAGACTCAACTACACAAGGCAGAGGTCCATAAAACATATGTTACATAGATATATAGGGAGTATAAACATGATGAGTATAATAACAACAAAACTATACAAAGAGTATAACTAAACTATACTAGGTCTACAGCACGTACAAACAATCTAAACTCTAAGAGTAACATATGATGATATTTTCATAACATTTCCTTCAAACATTAATAAGATATCATTACAACATTTAATAAACATTTCTAAAATAACATATTTAAAACATTTAAAAATAACAATATTGTAATGTTTCTATGAAATGTTAAAATGATATCAAAATGTATGGTCTTAGAAATAGATTGATGATATTTTCATAACATTTCCTTCAAACATTTATAAGATATCATTACAACATTTAATAAACATTTCTAAAATAACATATTTAAAACATTTAAGAATAACAATATTGTAATGTTTCTATGAAATGTTAAAATGATATCAAAATGTATGGTCTTAGAAATAGATTGCTTACAATTTAAAAACATTTCCTTCCAATGTTTAAAAGATATCATTAATATGTTATATCAACATTTTTGATAATATCAAATTGATATTGTGATAATGTTTAAGCTTGATGTTAAACAAATATTTTTTAAATGTTTTTTTGATGTTGGTTTCTAATGTTATAAATATGTTTTCTTGATAATCACAAGACCATACATTTTCATATGATTTTAACATTTGAACAAAACATTTCCCAAACGTTTAGCCAAACATTATCATGATGTTCTTATAATGTTTTTGTGTTAGCTGGGATGTAACCTGCATGTAACATGCGTTTCTTGGAAAATATCAAATTCCCAAATTTACTCTCAGGCAAAACTACAACAAAAGATAACACAAAACTTACAACAATGTCCAGAATATCACCCCCGGAGTTGGTGGGGGGGGGGGGGCGGGATCAATAGTAGTCACGAAACACGCAGAGGGAAACATTTACTGAAAGCAAATAATGATAATTAGTACCTTTCATATGGTATGCATCTAGCCAACTTTATAGCAGACATACCTTGCTGTAAATAACATCTTTGGTCCACCAGAAGAAGAAGACAAAATTACTGGGGGGAAAATGTAGTGCTTTTTTTGGTTTCAAGAAAACTGCACATCTTTCAACCTTTGTCATGTCATATTTCTTCAAACTTGTCACGCTGAATTTCATTTATTTCTTCATTTTCTAAGTTCCCTTCATGGTAAGGCAGAATGGTATCGTGGAAATGTCACTTTTATAAACATGTTCTAAACACTATTGACTAAATATAATTATTTATGTTTATCATATATATATATATATATATATATATACTTCAATCTATCCACAAAAAAAATAGTTCAATAAAATGCCTATTTGTCTACGCCGGTCAGTGTGTGCATGGAGAACTAACCACTGGAAAGAGAAACAGACTGAGGAGGTCGGTGCAAACCAGGCGCGAATCCAGGATTTTTTAGGAGGGGGCCCAAATTTGAAATTATGCGAGGCAAATATTGGTACGTAATGGTGACACCGGCATTGGCAAAAAAGTTTTCGGAAGAGGGGGGGGGGGGGGGGTAGACACAAAAAAAAATCCCCATCACCCCACCCTTACATGCAGGCCCCGCTAACATTTCTCGGAGGGGGTCAAGGGGTGGAGCCCCCAGAAGCTCAGGGAGTATAGGCATTTAATTACTGTCCGATGAGCATATTTTGATACCTTATTAATTTGTGACACTGGCGGGACACATATTGGTGTGGGGTCCAGGAGGCGGAGCCCCCTGAAGCTCAGCGGTCTTATACATTAAATTACCGTCAGATGAGCATATTTTTATACGTTATTTGTGACACTGGCAGGACACTATTTGGCGTGAGGTCCAGGGGGCCGAGACCCCAGAAGCTCGGGGGTTTTAAGCATTTAATTACCGTCAGATTAGCATCCAGCCGTCCGCCTTAGGGCCCTAGGTGGGGTTAGGGGGCAGAGCCCCCGGAAGCTCAGGGGTTCAGATGAGCAATTGTTTTATTTTTTTTTGCCCCGGATATAGGAAAATTACGTCGTCAGATATTTCGTCCAGTGGCTTGAGAGTGGGGAAGGGACCCCCCCCCCTTTTTTTTTTTTTTGTTGCTTTCATCAGCAAAAAAAATCTTTCCCCTCTTTTTGTTGATCCGCCACAGGTGCGAACGTGGCAAGGACAGTCTTAAGAGAAATCTGAGTTACTTCAGCATCACTTCCCAGACTTGGGATGTGACTGCTGCAAACGGAGTCTAAATGTAGACAAGCATTAAAAGATGTCAAACGAGCAGTAAGAAAGATCAAAGACACAAGCACTTTTCAGGACGAACGCTTAACTTTCAGACGATACACAGGAGACTCCGCAACCAAGTAGCTCAACTCTCAACATCGAGGCGTCAATCATCTTCACGGCATAAAGGAAAGTATCCAAATCTTCTTAGTAATTAAAATGCATATTGTATCATCGACAAAAACGGCAACATAGAGCTAAACAAATATATTGTACTGCAGAGGCGGCCCTCCGGGGGGGGGGGCAGGGGGGCACAGTGCCCCCCCCCCCACTTTTATAGATACCCCAAAATGCCCCTTTTTACATAGGAAAAGTGCCCCTTTTATTTTGTAAAAAGTGCCCCTTTTACATAGGAAAGGTGCCCCTTTTACTTTGACAAGTGCCCCTATTACTTAGTAAAAGTGCCACTTTCCCCTTTTCACCTCTGACGAGTGCCCTTTTTATTTTTGATACGTGCCCCTTTTCCTTCGACATGTTCCCATTTTCCTTTGCAATAAATGTTCATTTTCCATTCTCATGAATCTTGAAATTATCTTGAATAAGTGCCCTTTTTAATCTCTAGTAAGTGCCTCTTTTCAGGTACGAGAAGTGCCCTTTTCACTTTTAATAAGTGCCCACTTCACCTCTGATGAATGCCCTATTCAAAACTGAAAGGTGCTCTTTTTACTTTGACAACTTCTCCTTTTTCCTTTGTAAGAAGTGCCCCTTCTCCTTTTAATAACTACCCCTTTTTTAAACTCGGATGAGCGCACCTTTCATTTTAACATGTGCCCCTCTTATTTTCTAATAAGTGCCCCTTTTCCTTATGATAAGTGCCCCCATTAAAAAGAGAGAGCTCCTTCCCCTTCACATAACTTCCCCTTTCCCTTTCTAATAAGTGCCCCTTTTCCTTATGATAAGTGCCCCCATTAAAAAGAGAGAGCTCCTTCCCCTTCTCATAACTTCCCCTTCCCCTTCTCATAACTGCCCTTTTAAATATCTGAACGGTGCCCCCTTTTCATTCAACAAATGCACATTTTCCTTTATTATAAGTGCCCCTTTTCATATCTGGTCAGTGCCTCTTTGCAACTCTGATAATTCCCCTTTTAATAATGCTACGTGCCCCTTTTCCTTTCTAATAAGGGACCTATCCCCTTTTCATCTCTTATAAATGACCCTATTAAAATCCAATGGGTGCCCCTTTTCCGTCAACAAATGCCTATTTCTCATTTTTGTAAACGCCTCCTTTTCATCACTGGTGAGTGCCTCTTTTCAAGTGAAAAAATGCTTCATTTTCACCTCTTATAATTATCCTTTGTACTTATACACGTGCTCCTTTTCTTTTCTAATAAGTGTCTTATCCCTTTCGATAATTGTCCCCTTTTCATGTAATCATTAAACGTGCCCCTTATTTAAAGCGACTAAGAGCAGTTTCCCCCAAAGTTCGCTCGCTGCGCTCGCTCGCATTTAAAGATTATATAATTATGTTACTTATCAAAGGTCTTTTCAGTCTTCCGTTATGAGAATGTGCTTATAACCCCATCACGATCGGCTTTTGCCTCTTTATAAGATGTAATTTTTCGCACTGCGACTTCACAGATCTTTAAAAATTTTCTCGCTCGCTTCGCTCGCTCGTAAATGCATATTCAGACATCACACCCAACTGTAAAGTTTGATGCTTAAGCGATATCTTGTATGATGTATGAAGAGAAACAAATATTGATATCATCCCTGATAATGTAATCACAATGTATGGTATATACCAATGTCTAAAAATTGTATATTTTCGCTTTGAGATTTCCCACTGTAGGTGCCCTTTTTTCCAGAAAGTGCCCTTTTTTGTTGGTGCCCCCCCCCCCCACTTTGAAAGTCGCTCGGCCGCCCCTGTTGTACTGCATTTTATAAAACTGTAGCAACCACTACAAAACGATTGCACAAATGTCAGTTCAGTTCAGTTTATTAATAGCATCATTTTGCAGCCTCGGCTAAATTGCATGATAATTTACAATCTTAACAAACACAATGAATCTTAATCAATACTTAGTATTGTACAATTTATAGGCTCTAAATCTTACTAAAGTAACATTAAATTCAAAAGCAGAAAATCAATGTGAATACAATTATTAAAATCAATTCTACAATTTGATATTATTGAGAAGGTCGCGATAAAATCGTAATTTACACAATGTTTTTAAAAATAAAATTTAACAAGTACGTTAACATCTTTTTATTAATAAATAAAACTACCATACCTATGAAATAACTCGAATCTTCGTTTACAGCGGAGGCATATATTTTTGTTTAAATATAAATTTCAGATGAATTTCATTGGTTATAGGGAAAAATCTG